TTATAGTCACAACTTAGTTGCATAACTTGATAACATAATGCCAGGTCAGTAATTATCTAGAGAAAAGCAATGGAAAATGTTAATGTGGGCAAACTGCTGGTAAGGTTTCTTGTTCTTCATATACAGCCCTCATTGAATCGCTTGAACTACACATGTGGAATTCCTCTGGACTTTAGAAAGAGGCTGTTGAATCTGAGTTCTGATTGTGCTGCCTTCTTGAAAGACAGCAGAGACACCATTGCTTCAACAGGAGCTCCTACAAGGTGTCTCTGCTTTGAAATGTCAACCACCTTCAAGGATCCTGGCCTCATACACAGACTTTGCTCAAGCTTTTATTTATTTTGTTATTTACCTGGATTTATGTAAGAACAGAAAGACCTTTTCTGGTGTTCCTTTTTCTCTCTGAGGGTCTTTATATGTAGTATTGCCCTTTAAAAGTTACTGCACATATAATTCAGTTTGATATTCCACCTTGTAGCATTGTGTTTCTTTTGATATCACTCTCCTGAAGATTATATGACCTTGAAGGTGACATTTTAAACTAATGAACGAGAAGAACTGAAACTAAACCTGAACATTGTAAGCCAAATGGGTTGACTTTTACCTCAAGCTTTCATTTCTGTACATGAAAAGTACACAACTATCAGAATTACGTATTTGCATTTTTTTCTTAATATCTCAAGGAAACAAATGTTATGCAAATGTGTCATCTATTCCTTTTTTTCCTGTGCACTGACCCATAAGCTATGATTCTATGATTCTGTGAAATGCTTTTGCCCATTGTTCTGTCATTCTTTTCTCACCCCTTCTCCACACAAATACCGCCAACAGTTTAAGTTGGTTGAATCACTGTAATGTTCGATGGAGGTGTAGTAGCCTCCAAGCTGAAGGTTTGTGTAAACCTCCATAGGAGGAAGATGACTAGAATCATTTCAGTGCTAAGCATAATCTTAAAGTTACAACTGAAAACTCTGCAGTGACAAAAGTTCCGTTATTTTCTCCTTGATGTGAAATTGCACCTCTCTTAGCCTTTCTTTTTCACTTGTTGTCAAGTCACATGCATCCTTAGGTCGTAGGTATATGAGGCAACCCCATCAGATTCAACAATATTATATTTAAGCTTAGCTGTCCTGAGCTTCACATGAAATTATTCAAAAATGCATATAGTTTTCCTTAGCTGAAATTGGGATTCAGGGGGCAGCTATTTAGGATAAGAATTTTTAGCCTCATTCTACTGAATGAATGAATGAATACTTACAGAGTAGTTCACCACCACTGCCCAGCTAAAATGGGATTATTCCTAATGGAAGGTCTTGCTACTGAGGGGCTACAGAGGAAACATCATTTAGGTGAGTGCACTTAAATTGGGAAGTCTAAGCTGCCTGAAGTTAAACTGATACTGACTAATTCCACAATCACATCAACCACTTTGCATTTCCTCTGGAGCCAAGTGAGGCTCCAGAAGATGAGCTGTGCCATTGGAGAGAAGGTGACTAGCTGAATAACATGAAACACTCTTTTTCCCATGCTATGAGGAGGGTCTAAATAGCTTTCCAAAATCAGATGCCAAACTTTACATCAGCTGGGTTAGCTGAGATGAATCCTACAAAGTTCAACAAGCAGATTTCTGTCTGCAGGCTCCAGTACAGACCTGGGAAGGTAAAGCAGAATTTGCACTCCCTGCAAGGCATCCTGTATTAAGATCATTTTTACTTATTATTTTTATGCTCTAGACTACATGAAAACTTATTCTTTAAAACTACATGTTGGCATTATTTATTCCAAACGTGCTAAGAACCGGGAGAATTAATCCATATGGTGCTGTGCCTTGCTTCTTGCAGTGTCTGAGCCACCTCTTTCAAAGCTAGCTTGAGTATCCCTCCATCATACGGCAATGGAGACATACCATCAGAGCCAGAGGAGAGCCCTACTGTGCAGTTTCACACTCAAATCACACATTTCCGTGGGCAGGTTTCACCCAGCAGGAGTTCCTGGCTGTGTTGTGGTTTACAAATGTAAGGGGATTGTCCATGCTGACATGTATTATATTTTATATATACATATTTGTGTGTGTGTGTATTCTTTGCTCTTCCAAATGGTTGCTTTCAAATATGGTTTTACCAGAAAGGATCGAGCAACTTTCTTACTGACAATGAATTCTTTGCAGTCTTTGTCACTTACTGGGCAAATTACTTTTTTTTTTTTTTTCTGTTTCTTTCTCTTTCAATGCCAACACATCAGTGTTTTCTAGTAGAACAAAATAATGTCTTTTAAAGTTGGAATATTTTATTTATGCATGGTATTGCCACAATAGCAGACTACTGTTCAGACTTCTATGAAATATTTATTCATTGTCTTCTCTTCTCTGCAGTATGAGGGTTTATGCTCATTTCTCTAGATAGGTTTGCAGTTTCTGTTGTTATGCCAGTATTTGGAAAACAACTGATGCTAAAGTAGTAATAAAGAATAAGAAAGCTTTCCCTTATTCTAGCACAGCCATTTAATTCAAGTGAGCAAGGCTAGCAGGTGGTTCTCAGAAGATCTCATTAGCCTCTTTGATTGTCTCTAACACCTCTTGTAAGCAAATGTCTCATTACCATGGATATTTACATATGCTTTACTTTCATACAGGTTGCCATACATCAGTGAACTATAAACCTATTACCAAATGTCTTCAGATTTAAATGGTAAATACTATTCCTGCTGTGTGGACAAACGGTAGCTATCAAAGACAGTAAAATCTAACAGTGCTCAATTCAATCTTGATTTCCATGTTTAGTATCAGTGAACTTTTCAAATCGTAAAAATCATGAGGTCTTTGAGCCTTTCAGGGATATCCAGTAGAGTCATAGCATGCATACAATGAGATACTCATCTGGAAGTGGAATCAGTCTGGAATACGAATGGAAGAAAGGTGGGGAGAGGAAAATGTGAAGGTTATTCTTTTCCAGTTCCTGTGGTGACTAAATTTTATATACTCAGCAGTTTATTTTATGTAGCCTCATAATCACAGAATGGCTTAGGTTCCCTGGGACCTTGAGATCATCAAGCTCCAACCTCTGCAGTGGGCTGCCTGCCTCCACAGCTCAAGCTGCCCAGAGCCCAGCCATGGCCTTGGGCACTTCTGGGGATGGGGCACCCACAGCTCTCTGGGCAGTGCCAGGGCATCGCTGCCCTCTGAGTAAAGAATTTCTTTCTAACCTCTAACCTAAATCTCTCCTCTTTTAGTTAAAGTCCTGATCTGATGCTACAGCCTTTCATTTGAAAGAAGGGTTACCAGCTGCTTATCATACTGACATCATTATAGCATTGTGGTTTGACACTGAATTAATTCTTCAAACCCTCAGCTCATAGCTTCCTTATCCACCACACGTGGTAGTACCTGGCTTATATTTTGTGAGGACTTGATTTTCTGCCACTGAAGCTGATGGAAATAAATACACAAAGGCCAGTTCTGTTCATACATTCTCATCCGATAGCAATCCCCTACTACTGACAAAATTGACAAAGCCCACACTGTTTTTTAGCAGCTGAACACCCAACCTTCATTGTATTGTACTTCTCCCAGTCTGAAAATATGACACTTTGAAATATTATTTGCTTTTATTGAGGATCTTACTTTCTCAGGCATGCAGTCAAAGAGAAAATATATCAACAGAACCCCACATACTTCTGAGTGAGGAACTTGCACCTTTTAGCAGTTGGTAAGATTAGATGCTGAATCTCAACATCAAATGCAAAGAACTCTGAAAGATAGTTAAGTGGGCTAGATGATCTTAGAGGTCTTTTCCAACCTTAATGATTCTGTGATCTAGTCTGTCTTTCATTTTCTGTTGAGGTAGAAGATGATCCCCATTTGAGATTTCTTTAATGAGAAAATTTTTTGGACATTAGTAAGAAATGCAGGGAAATTTCTGAGCTTTTCTGTACACTAGATAAGTTTTCTAGGTTTATAAACTAGTAAGATGATGATTTCAGCTTTACACAGCTGCAGACTGGGTTGTGCATAGAAAGCTCCTTCTTGAAAACCAGTCCTAATTTGTCGTATTTCTGATGTTTAATACCCTTCTTTTTCCTGTGTCCCAAGAGAGAAAAACTCCCATCCCTAACATTATCACCTCCTATTTCTGCATGCTTCTGATGCTAAAATTCATCCAGTTCCATATAATGACTGAAAACTGGAAATAAACATTTTCAGGTTAGAAATAATAGGCATAGTCCTGTAACAGGAGGTTGGTTGTGTATCACTCAGATCGTTAATTAAAGGCTGGTGACATTAAGCCTAATATTTGAGTGATTGTGGAGGGTCTGATTCTGTGTTATGCAAGAAATCCTTTAGCTATTTTGCATTTACATGCATGTGAAGATAGTGAATACTACAGGAGTGGTTCTTTACACTTCTGTACTGAATATTTTCCTAATGAACTGAACAAAATGAAAGAGAGAAGCTTCACTCATATACATCCCAAAAAACAACTCAACAAGCAGCTGTGGGATGAAGCAGAATCTATTCTCCAACTTTCAATCACCACCCTGGGCCAAATTCCAATAAGTGTTAGTATCCAACCTCTGACGGGGATTCAAGTTTGCAGAAATTCACTGAATTGAAATCAGAGATGTCAATCGAATCTCCACAGATTTAACACACTTTTTGGTAGACAGATAGTGGCTGTGAATTCCACTCTAAAGGGAATATTAGCTTCTGACGTATAATGGAGTAATTTAATTGGGACTAACAGCTTTCACTTTTTGCCAGAGTGGAGTCTGTCCATTACTGTATAATGCAACTATATTGTACTTATGCTTACGCTATTCTTATCAATGCAAATTGTTTTTTGGGTCAGGGAAAGCTTATCAGAAAGTGATACCATTTGTTATTCTAACCAACTGCACACTGATGGATAGAAGGAAGAACCAACCACTAAAACCATTTTGAAAACAAAAAGAAGAGAGAGTTTGCACCATTAATCTTATCTTTTTTGCCTCTCTCTTTTCTATAGGTTGCCCAGGAATGTGGGACAACATTACATGCTGGAAACCTGCAAGTGTGGGTGAAATTGTCTTTGTCAAGTGTCCTGCTCTGTTCAGATTTATCATCTCTGAAGATGGTAAAGTCCTTTCTCCGTGTTTTTTGCTTCTGCCTGGTAGAGCTGCATGGCCAGCAGGCAAATAAAGCCTGATTCAGTTGCTATACTTAAGGGAAAAATAAGAACTACAGTGGCCTGGGGTTGGTTTGAACTTCTGTTCAAAAGAAAACAGTAAAAAAACAGGATGTTTTTGTGTAGATGTATGTGCATATGTTGGGTGGAAGGGGGAAAGGTGTGTGAAAAAAAGCTATCTCGGTCACCATGAAGTTATTGCGAAGTCTAGTAGCTAAACAGAGCGTTTGCCCTTGGGAATCCACAAAGATCAACAAGACCTGAGACTGTGTGAAGGTGTCAGACAACTAGTCATCATAACTGGAACCTATTTTAGAAAATAACTAAAACTCAGAGCTGGACTCTGTTCATGCCTACGGAATGGATGTGCATGAAATGACCAATGAGGGCAGTTCCCATCTTGGAGGCCCAGTGGAGGGTTGGTGAAAATTAAAAATTCTTTCAGAAGTGGAGAAGATCCATTGTGCCTTTTTGTTCTCTGTAGAAATGAGATGTCAGCTTCCTACTGCTCCTTGCAGCTGGCACCAGCAGCCAAGCAAAGAAACAAAAGTAAATGAAAGGTCAGAAAATTGCCCTGGTTGCGTTGTGGTGAGATGGACTGTTTCTGTTTCCAGAATCACAGAATGGCCAGGGTTGGAAGGGACCTAAAGGATCATGAATCTCTAACCAGAGTACATTACTGTAAGAGTTGTCCCTCGTTAGTTAACAACAAGCCTTTGCTGATATTTAACAGTAATGTCCATCTCATCCCAGCACCCATGTAGGCCAGCATAGATCGCTTAAGGAGCACTTCTCATGGAGGAAAAACCTCACCTTTTTCCTTCTGCGATCCTCTTCCCAAAGATTATTTTGCCAGTGAATTATTCATACAAAATCTTGAATCCAAAATTCACCTTCCTGATGTTGCTACAGACAGTGCACAATTTGTGGTAGATGGAAAATATACACAAGTCTGGCATGCTCAAATATTCACCTTTAAGAACAGACATTTCAATTCATCTTAGATGGTGAAGGAAACACCAGAATGCTTTTGTGAAATGGAGAGGAATTTAAGGGTGATCACCCCCTCACTAAATACACCCATATGAAACTCAAGTGTCTTCTCTCAATTAGTTCACTGGACTCCATCTGTAGTTAATGTGGAGAAAGTAAGTGAAAGAAATCAATGGAAGGCAGTGTATTTAATTTCAAGAACATGAGGTTAATTACCATTTGGAGGTAATCTCTCTTTATCCAGCAAGTAATAAAGACAGTTCCCTTAAATGAGGCATCTTATTTTTGAAGGGAGGAAGACAAGTCCCTTTTTAAATTATCAGTTACAAAAACATGGTTATTCCTGTAATTCTGTGTGCTTCAATTATAGTGTGTATAATTACACATAATCTTGACTGCTGCAATATTGGTCCACTATAAATTCAGTGAATGCAGTGACACTTGCTGAACCATCACAGTCAACCATAATAGAAAAGACAGCATAGAGCTTCTAGGAGGATTTGTGTCCAACGAGGGAAAGGAAATATTCTTCCCTCTTTCACACACATGCACACACACATACATATGTGTATTTATTTACATTATTCTCCATGACTTTGTTATCTGTTTTCATTGACTGCTTGTCATTCAGACTAATTGTCGGACCAGTCTTGGTCGTCCTTTGCGCAAGATGCATACTCAACCAAAAGTTTTCACAATCTAATTATCAGTGACGTGTGCAGCCTGCAGGCATAATGCTTTTATATCATTTATTGTGCACTAGCAGATGGCTGATCTGCTGTTATCTTCTGATATGACTGCAAGAGACCTGCTGCTCAATGCAATGCCTGACCAACCTTCAATTAGGACCCCTCCTTTTTGGTGGCCTGTGATGTGCTGCCTCTACCTGTCCTCAAGATAGGCATGGTAACATAGGCAGCACTTTTCTTTCCCTTTCTTTCTCTCTTTTCCTTCCCTTTTGGGGTTCAGTGATCAGAGATGTCACTAGTTTGAGACACGGAGAGATGCTGTCTGCATCTACAGCACAGGAACTCTTTCCTCTCTTCCAATCTACCAACACACCTCAGCTGCAGACCTTTTAATGGCTCTCTTTATTCCAAGGGATATTTCATAGTATCATAGAATGGCCTGGGTTGAAAATGACCTCAAAGATCATCTGGCTTCAACCCCCTGCTATGTGCAGAGTCGCCAGCCACCAGACCAGGCTGCCCAGAGCCACATCCAGCCTGGCCTTGAATGGCTCCTGGAATGGGGCATCCACAACCTGTCTGGTCAGTCTGTGTTTCCAATGCTCATAATTATAACCTACCCAAATATAGCACCTTCTCCCTTCTATTGATGAAATTTGTTTTCTGTAGTGCCATTGTTTCTGAAGTAATTAAGGTTTGAAGGGCTCTTGAGAAACCATCTAAAATGTCTCCCTTCTCAAAGACTGTGTCAGCTCAACATAGTCTATTCCAGCATATAACATTTTAACTTTAATATCAGAATGTCTCGTCCCGTTTTTTTTTTCAAGTGACATTAATATTCATTTTAGAAAAATAGTAACACTGTACTTAAAAGAGGAAAGCTGCCATAACAAAAGGCTCCATACATTGAAGGGCTGAAATAAGGTTTTTGAATGCTTTGTCCGGAATTTCCAGTGCTGTTTGTAAATTGTACCTCACATTTGGCCTCTAGGAGGGTGATAGCATGACCCTAAGGGAGGAGTAGTCAGTCCAGTGTAAATATATGTGCTGCCTTCTTGATTTCCTTGCGGGTTCACTAATAAAAGTGACAGCTGTTACTGGGTGGTTTTTTTTTTGGACATCTGTTCAGTAGGAACAAAACCAAGATTCATAATTCGTTAGATAAACAAATAAACATTTAATCTGGAGTTGTTTGAAACCTCGGCAGACCCAGCTGGATTTGTGCTAGTGACCCCAAGGTGGAAATATCTACATCCATAATCACTCTTCTGGGTGAATCAGGATGAATTTTCAGTCTCATTACTGCTAATTTTAGCTAACCGAGTATATTTGCTTCAATGAGGGCTTAATGAAAAAAGTCACATATTATGAAGGTTCCTTAAATAAAGGGTTATTAGATAATTAAAATGTTTCTAAGACGTGGCTAATCACATTTTATAAATCATTACAGTATTCTGTGGCTGCTGCTGTGTTTCTAGAATATGTAAGTAGAGTAGGCACTGACCCCAGTGTCCATTAATTGTATATTCATTCTTAATTCAGCAGAGTTTTCAGATGACCAAAAATCATTTTTACAAACAGCAGCAATGATTTTGATTTATGTTTTTAAAATGTTTGTCTTAAGAAGCACTGAAGCACTTGTGGAAACACCTGCTTGGATGAAATAGGGGAACCGCATGCAGCACCATTGATTTTACAGAGTGGGGGGAAAGTTATCTCACTTGGCTTTGGAAATCTGTGAATTATATGTGTAAAACTGGTCACATGGACTTCTGGTTCAGTGAGGGAAGTGTTAGAATCATAGAATATCCTGAGTTGGAAGGGACCCATAAGGATCATTGAGTCCAGCTTCTGATAAGTAATCGTAGAAGGTATTGCCTCTGACCTGTATCAAATTTGTATCTTGAGGTGAATGAAGTCAGTGGAGGAGCCTCTTTGGTTGCTGAATTTCTGAAAGGAATTTGGCTGTCTTAACTTGGCTGCCTGATTTCTGCTTTCAGTAAGGTGAAAAAGAAAATGGACTTAAAAATAAAAACTAACTGATGAAATTCCAATCCCCACCATCCACAGAGATACTTTGTCGAAGAACAGTTCAGTGGTTTTAGCTGTAAAGACCATCTCTTGCTGTTGAGGGTTTGAAAATATACTCTGCTACGACCTTCATTGCAGTTGGACTGAGGACTGACATTTGAACTGCTGATATGGAAGGTCTAAAGTTAAAATTTCCTTTGGAAATCCCGTGATAGATATCTTGTGACCCTTCCTGGTAACATTTCATTTCAGTTCTCCTTCAAAATCATGAGAATTTTTTATTTCCTTTCAGATTCTCTTTGCGAACAAAAAGATTGTTCTGAAAATCTCTCCACCTGAAAAAGTCATTGTATCTCCTCAGCCTTTTCCAGTGTAGTAGGTTAAAGATTTACAGTGGTTTCTGTTCTGGAGGATTCCTAAATATTGGAGGTTTCTTGTTAGTTGGTTTATGTTTGGTTTTGTTTTCTTTTATGGTTGGTGTTTGTTTTTTTTCTCTTCAAAATCCATTTCTTTAATCAATTCACAGTTTAATTTTTATTAAAAGCAGTAACTTCCATTGTGTTGCTTTTATCAATTACGTTTTCTCATTCCAAGTGGTAACCCCAGAGAAAACCCCTCTAGCAACAGAGTACATTTAAAGCGTTCTAAGGTATCTTTGCAATTAAAAAAGGAAAAAGGTGCCAGCCATGATGTGTAATTATCTACAATCCCAACTAGAAAATGTTGTGTTTTATTCTTTTCCTTTATTTATTTATTTTTACAGGCAGTGGTGATGTGTCTGGTAGAGGAAACTCACAGATGCCAAGGCTTTTCCTTCGTTGCCCCTCATGGCTGAGAAATTTTAGAGGGATAAAACCTGTCCACTAAAGGGCCATTGAAAGAAATGCAATAGGCAGCTAAAAAATGAGCGTATTTTTACGCCTCTGATTGGCAGGAAAATCTTATGCAAATAGTAATAGGCAGTCTCTGAGCATTGCTGTGTGCTTCACATTGAGAAGTTGTCTTCATTTCAGAATCCAAATGAATGATTAGCTCCTACAGAAGCTACCAACTATACAGACTGTTTATTCAGTGCTCAGTCTAGGATGTTGCCTGCGACATCCAAAAGAGCGTGACTGACCTTTGCTGGTACCAGGATTAAGGCTGCTAATTAAAATTCAGTGAAATAAAGAGTCCATCCAGGTATTGTAGAGTTTAAGGGGGAATGTTTATCTTTTCGAACCCGAGTGTTTGCTG